AGTGGCGCATGATGTATAAAACTCTTTGAAGATCTTGTCCTTGACTGCTTAAGGAAGCTAGCCTTATGTGCTTTCTTTTAGGTGTTTTTTTTGTCTGTGAAAATAGGGCAGAATCTTTATAGCTGGTGAGTTGCAGAATGTTGAAATCCAACACAACAGCTGCTGTAAAAAACCTGTCTTCCGCTCGGCCTGTCTTTTTGACACACACAAAAGCATCCTCACACACACACACAAACCAAAACAGGGAATGTGATCTAATTTCTGTGTCAGAGTTGGTGAATAAATTTGCATGTTGTTATCACTTACAGGACATTTTCAAGAAACAATTCTGCAGTCACATGAAAGACTTTTGACTGGTCAGTGTTGTTGTTATAATACTACAAAAACTAAAACTAATGGTATTGCTAATACCTGTAGCAACTAATATAGTTTTTCTACATGGTTAAATAGTAATAGTTGAATAAATAGTTTGTCTTTATGGTTTTTGATTGGTTATGTTAATGTGGTGGCAAACAATTTTCTAATACAAACATGTAACAATTGTCTTTAACAATTATTTATTCACTTGCAAGGAAAGGTCAGTCATTAAAGTGCCTGCAGAGTGGGGCATCCTTCCTTCTTTATAGTTGTTCCTGTATGTATTTAATCCCTGAGTTTCTTTAGTTCTCGGTATCATCCGGTATGTTATGTGGTTTGGTGACCACACCCACACACCCGTGTACAACACACCGAAAAACTAATACGTTAAAGCTAATAAATTAGTATATTTTAATTGGTATCTACGTACATATCAGATACTAAAACAAATTTTAATAAAAGTGCAAACACTAATACTAAAACTGAAAGGTTAGCTTGAGCAGATTTCAGTTACAATACTATAAAACCTTATATAGCCTACTATTGCTAACACTAATGCTAATTGTAATGTTATTGCTAACACTAATGCTTGTAATGCTAAAACTAATATGTTAAAGCTAACATATTAAGATATTCTATTCCAGTAGATATTCCTCAGACTGTTTACCATCTCTGAGACTGTGACTTTTTTTAGCTTTTTCATCTAGTTGTTTTCACAAACCCGTTTACTTGACTCGCTTGATGTTTTAAAAAAACAGAGGAGGTGCAGAGAGGGCAAAGCACCCTCCACCTCTCTCTCTCTCTCTCTCTCTCTCTCTCTCTCTCTCTCTCTCTCTCTCTGTCTTCCATCTTTTATTTTTAGACTCAGGGGCTCTATGGGAGTTGGCATGCTGGCTTTTACAGGCTGGTAGTGCTGAATGCATTAATATGAGAGTGAACTACCCCTCCTCTATCTGTGACCTCTCCTCACAGTGTGATATTTACATTCTGTGCCACAAGAAAATCTTCCACACACACATACTAATTTAGTTTTCTTCAGTTTGAAGTCAGTTAATCCTCCAAGAACAGACATTTAAACAAAAGCGCTTATTTCCCCGCAGCAGATGCATTTCTAGACATGTTTATTAGGTTTGGAGGTATGCGAGCGCATTTGTGCGAGTGTGTGAAGCAGAAGACACTCTGTCGCTGAGAGCGTGTTAATTGGCTGCACTGGAAGCTTCAAGACATCTGGGAATTCAGATGTCACAGTCTGGCATATATTAGACCATTTCTCTTCTTCTCCTCTTCTTTCTTCCTTCCTTCCTTGCTTTTTTCTGCCTTCATCAGTCTCAAAATGCCTTCCCTTTCTCTAAAACATACAGAACCCTCACACACACACACACACACCCCTCACCACCCACCCTTCGGTACCTTTAGGCTGACAGGAGTAGCGCAGCCGTTAATGAAAAGCGAGCCGTCCCGCTTACACTTCAGATAGCGTAACCTCACAAGCGCTTCAGCGATGATAGCAAGACTCAGATCGCCTGGCAGTAAACTGATCAGACACTTTATCTGAACTGATTCGAGGATAATTCGGTTAAAACCATAATCCACCAGATTTGATCTTCTCAAAACCCATACTGACCCAAATGCACGCTACCCAAACATAACGCTGATGCTCTTGAAGACTGTGTGGGATTTTCGTGGCTTTTAGTGCATATTTAGTAACTTTGAGGTCTCTTCTAGTGCACTTATAAAAAGTGGTGTTTAAATGCCCTTATGTGAGGCGAATAATAATAAAGTTCAGTGAACTTAACATTTTAAGTTCTAACCTACTGGCAATGACCAAGGGGGACAACATCATGACTTGGGGTTGGACATGGACCAGTATAAAACCACATACAAACACCTTAGCAACCACCTAGAACACCCTAGCAACGGCATATACACCACCCCGAACACCCCAGGAAACAGCAATGCTAAAGCAGCCACCCACAACATTGTAGCATTGTGGCGGTGACTATATTTCACATGCTAAAACATTCATTTCCTTCATGTATTGTGTATATAAAACTAACAGCAACAATTATTTAACTCAGCATAGAAGTTTCACCCACTTTTTTGATGCGTGTTCAAGACATCAATGCCTTGTCAAACCATTCCTTGACTACAGTTAACCACTGATCAAATATTTTGTTTTGTTCACATATCAATATTTGCTTGTAGTTTTCAAGTGTGTGTGTGTTTAAATGTGCCGGTTCAATGAACGAAGAACAGGAAGTGAGTGTGCTGGAGAGGAAGTGAGGCTTTCTGCCAATTCTTTTTAGAATTATGCTAAACGCTAATGCTAACAAACTGTGCCTCTATGACTCTGCACTCTTTATCCTCCCACAAAATTCAACTCAAATCAATATTTATGTCTATTTATTTATTTTGTAACTATTTAGGATAAGTCAACTGCTCATCACAAAATAAAATTGGTAAACCAAATTGCTCGTTCCATAGCTAGCTGCTAGGAAGCTATGGTGTTGATATGCTCTTGCTAATGTTTTCTAGGGTGTTGCTAGGTGGTTGCTTAATGCCTCAAGTCAAAAAGCCCTTAGCAAGCACCATGACTAAATGTAGAATAAATCAAAATATTTTGTGTTTTCACACATTAATTTACCAAAAATATTAACTCTATCTCAATCATTTGCCCTCAGCTGTCTGCAATCATTTCCGCTAAATTGTCTCCATTACTGATAGAGGGGAGTTTAAATGACAACATCTCTCAAGCGTCGTTGCTCTGGAGTTGCTATGTGACAGAATCTTCACAGCCTGGCAACGTGAGTCCCAGAGTCCCCGTCCAACTCTGGAAGTGTAAGGTGAGTCATTTAGTTCCCGAGGGATGGAGCACCAAGTAAGAAACCATTCCTTCAAAATCATACATTAAATCCAGAGCAGGGCTTCTGTTTGCTTAAAACCAGCTGCTCCAAGATTAAACCACATAGCCTGGAAGCGGTCTACAAAATGATTAAGCGCACTTTGTGCTGAGAAAACAACAATAGTCTGCGTAACACCAAACTTGAGTATCCCAGCTTAATGATTTAAGGGAGTATTCTGGGTTCAAGTTAAGCTCTATCAAAAGCATTTGTGGCATAATGCCGATTAAAACCTAAAACGTTTCTCAGATGCTTTTGGAAATGGAAGGTCAAGTTAAGTGCACTGCATTTTGGGATACAGTTTTCCAGAAAAATGCAACTGTTATCTAGCCTGGCATGCCAGACCTACATCAAGATGTTAGGTCTGGGAACTCTCCATTGACATGCCTCAATCCGAGGGGCGGGATAAACGGTTACCTTTCAAAATCCCTCTGCACGCAATAGGATAACGCTAAAACCAACCAGAGCAACGAACGGTTGTGGATGAGTGAGTCCCATGCGTTTTTCCACCAGCGGAGCTAGTTGATATATTAAACTTTTGCCGTATCAGGACGGCAAAAATCCGAACACATCTTCCTTTTTTAAGAATGACTTAAGTGACGTTCTCTTAACTCCAAGTCCTCCAGAGTCGCGGCCAAAGCCGATTCGAAAGACCGCTGCATCTTCATTGTTTTCAAGTAGCAGGGAAATCACCTATGGAAATGTGTTGTGTTAAGCCCGCCCGCCGACTCTATACACGATGTGATTGGCCTGACCAGTTTTTGGTTTTTCCAGCTCAAAAGCCTATGGAGAGTTGCTAGACCACACTGGCTGCGAAATAATTTTCGCTGCCGCTTGGGTGCGTCTAGATTTCTAGGCTAACTGTTATCCAGGAATCCAGGAAAATTCAAAGCATACTATATAGTACAGGAATAACGAGAGTATGCCAGTATGCAGTTGAGAACATAAGAATTGTCTCCAGTACATTAAACTCTTTTGAAACCCCTTTAAAGTACATTTTACAAAAGATCAAGATACTGTTTTCCATTATATGACAACTATTTTTACAGTCTCCCAGTTTTGTACCTTTGAGAATATTTTGTATTTGTAGCTGAGAATAAAGTGTGCTATGAATGTATTTGGTTGTCAGAGTTCCCGTATGTCTGTGTTTATCCTGTGCAACTTCTTTCAGCGATGATTAATCTTGAAGAACAACCATGAATAAACTAGTCAAACCAGATCTTGTGTATCAAGCTTGTGGCACGGAACCAAACAACACGCAGCTGTGGGTCAGATGTGAAAAAATGTGTAAATAAATATATATATATATAAGTATTAAATGTATTATAAAATATGTATTATTAAAATATAATTATAGTATAATATATATCAAATAAATATATACATTTTATATTAATATTTAATATTATATAGATATATTTATATCTTATTTATTACATTTTTTATTAAATTATATAAAATTATATAAATTATGTAAAAAAAAAAAAATTACATATAAAAGATACAGTATATATATATATATATGGAATTTTTTAAATATGGTATGTAAATCATTATTCTGCGCTCTATGTAAAAAAAAAACCTATAAAAAAACAGAAACTATTCTGAACTCGTCCTTTAAAACTACATCACAGTCCCAAAAGAATTAAGACCTCATCTTCAAAACAGGATATGACGTCATACAGGTCTGTATCATCAAGGGGTCCATGATGCTCTAGAATAGATGAAGGGCCAGATACTCACTGAACGCAGCGATGGCTAAGATCATCGTCACCACAATGGAGACCCACGATACCCATAATGCCTTTTTTCTGTAACTCTGAGCCTCGTGGGGTTTCAGACGCATACTGCTCTCCAGAAGACCTGCTGAGGGACAGCGCTCGGTTAGATTACGCCATCTTTCCTCACATCTAAACACATCCTACATGTGTCTCAGAGGAATTTAATGCCATTTATTCTGAAAAAATCTGAAACAGACTTGTCACAGGCTCAAAAGATTTGACTCAAAAGTCCAATTATATAAATGCATGTTTTCTTTAGCAGCGCGGGGTTTTTTTTGTGTGTATTTTAAAGTCAGCATGAAATCAAAATTTACATTAATTATTTTTTAACGGTATACTGAAGTATTTATTATAAATGATATATCCATGCACATCATTATTTTTTTTTATAAATGTATGTGCCCTCGTAATCTTTAATCAAAATAACTTCCCCTGCCTAATGCAGCTACAGTTCTCATCTTCTTTGATGACGTGTTTACTGGCGCGAGGGCGGGGAAACCTGTCACTCACATGAGATCGACCAATAGCAAACCACAACCATCCAATTAATTCCCCATCAAGCACCGCCCACATTTCTTTTTTTTCCGATCGCAACTTCCATTTCATTCATGCCGACTTTTAAGCATAATTCGAAAATATCTGTTTTGTGAATTTAAGTGAGCACAATAAAATTACAGATCAATTTATTCAGAAATGAATCAGCTGTGGCCTAATGAATGAATCTGTGTTCACAGAATATGGTCGGGGCAAGTTGTCACACACGTTTAATATGCTGTAACTTCAAACAATGAAATAGGCCTAATTGCACGTTATGCAAAACAATAGTTTGATTTTTTTTTAAATCTGAGGTAAAATATTATATATATATAATATATATATATATATATATATATATATTAGGCATTGACTAGCCTATAATAAATGTAATATGTTGTGTAAAATGCATTATTTAATATAATTTTGTAGTCAAGACTTTAATGTTGTGTACAGAAGCTGACTTTCAAAAATAAACCAACCCTGATACATTTTCACTGGAGTAAACGTGTGACAACTTGCCCCGTGCTCCACTTTATATGTATTTTTCAATGCAAATAAACTCTATTAAAAGTATTTAAACCCAAACTCGTACCGTTGTCATCTGTCTCTCCTATTTTCATCTGCTGCTCCATGTTGAAAGTATCTGCTTGGTTCGAATGGTGTCCGTTTGCAGGAATCGATGCTGGATCCACTACCGCTGGATCCGGAACGGAAGCAGGAGCACCTGGACCGGGGTCTACAGGACCGGCAGTGGGGTCAGCAGTTGAGGAAGGGTCCGTCATGATGACTCGGTCCCGGGTTCAAATGGTCAGAAGCATCCGAAGAATGTGACACCTGGTCGCGAGTGGAGGAGATGCGCACTGCTGGAGAGCCTCAGCGCATCATTCGCTCGAACGCGAGCGCGCACGCACACACACTCTAATTAAAAACACACACGTGTGAAGCACCGCGTGCACTTTACAAACAAAGCTTGCTCTTCAAAATAATTCAAAAGTATTATTATTAAATAAAGTGGGAATTTAGAGAATCCGTCTGGGAGCTCTGGTGTCGTGTGACCAAACATCTGTGTGCATATTAAACAAACACTTGCACTTCAACTCATACAGAAACCACTTATTTGAATACATAAGAAGGAACACATGGAAACTGAAAGAAAATAATTTTGGCACAATATTATTACGATTATACAGAAATTCATCAACCTTATACATTGGGATGAATTTTATTTGGCAAAATAAGATAGATAGATAGATAGATAGATAGATAGATAGATAGATAGATAGATAGATAGATAGATAGATAGATAGATAGATAGATAGATAGATAGATAGATAGACAGACAGACAGACAGACAGACAGACAGACAGACAGACAGACAGACAGACAGACAGACAGACAGACAGACAGACAGACAGACAGACAGACAGACAGATAGATAGATAGATAGATAGATAGATAGATAGATAGATAGATAGATAGATAGATAGATAGATAGATAGATAGATAGATAGATAGATAGATAGATAGATAGATAGATAGATAGATAGATAGACAGATAGATAGATTTTAAATAGAATTTACAATTGCAATTACAATTCAAATTAATTCAGTAGTTGGGTTTTAGCGACATCTTGTGTGACAAAGTCATTATTGCAGTTTACGAAACTAACACAGGTCAGTCAATTTACACATCCAGAATAAAAGCGAAATTACTCTTGAATGGCATGTTAATAATATTAATATAAAATAATGTAACATTGGTTACGGAAATGTTGTTTCAAAGAAATGTATTACATTGATAAATTATGAAAATAAACTTTTTTCTTTGTTTTTAAAAGTATTTAAGTATCAAACGTAAATGTCAATGCATTGTTTTATTATTGTTGCAATACTTACAATAGCCCACCTTATGCTTCTGAATCTATGCCTGTCTACCTACCCTCATATCAATATCAAATTTATTTCTAGAACACGTTCCAGTGGGATTGAATGTGAGATTGAATAAGTGCACTCAATAACGTCCACAATGGTTTCGGACACCCAAATGGCTGTTCCCTCAAATAGTGCCCTATTTAAAGTTTTTTGGCTTTTAGTATGAATATGTTAGCCTTACTGTTATCTACTGTATAAGCTAGTGTGATCCAAAACAATGACCAAATTTACATTTAGAAGACGTTGAAAATGGAAATCAGGTTGATGTCAGTTCTGACGTCAACCCGATTTTCATTTCCAACCAAAATGCAACCCATGTAACCAAAATCGTCCCCTGACTGACGTTACTACTTTCTACTCAAGGACCTTGACAGAAATGTAGTGGAGTAAAAAGTATGGTATTTGTCTTTCAAATGTAGTGAGGTTGAAGTAAAAAGTTTCCAGAAAAAATAATACTCAAGTAAAATACAGATACTCAAAAAGTGTACTTAACAGTACTCAAGGAAATGTACTTCCTTACTGTCCAACTCTGCATATTATATAGACACAAACTTTTACCTAAGATGGGATTAATCGTTTGATTGTTATGATTATATGCATAGCCCATATTATTATAATATGTTATTGCATACCGGTATATTATTATATCGAGAAAAAAAAATCCGATACTTTTATTATTCTATAAAGATATCTTAAAGAGTTAAAGGCCTGGTTTCACAGACAGGGTTTAGATTAACCCAGGATTAGGCCTGAGTTCATTAGAGCATTTAAGTAGCTTTTTTAAAGGTGGAGTATGTAAGATTTACAACTAGCGGTTTGAAATGGGTACTGCAGTTTAAATTCAAAATATTAGAGAGGGTTGTTTCTCCAACCCCCTCCTCCTCAGACTAATGCTCACAAAGGGTCAGATTGAGGACAAGCAACAAGAGCGAGCGCAATTAACAATGGAAGGTGAGGAGATATAGATGTTTGTAAATATAAGTTGATTTATCCGTGTTTTAATATGCTCCCGTTCATTGAGATTTAGATGGATGCCGAGGCTTTTTAGGTCTGGTAGAATCTGCGATCTCTGACCTAGTTTGTTTGCTGGCTTCCATGGCTGCAATGCGCTAAGTTTTCCGCCAACCAGGGCCGGATTATCCATAGACGGGATTGGGCAAGTGCCCTGGGGCACCAGCCAATAGGGGTGCACCCAGGGCCGGATTATCCAATGGGCATTATGGGGCCCAAGCGAGTGGAAGAAAAAATCCTTCTTTTTTACCATTTCCGATAACGGAGCGTATATTTGCACTAAGTGCCTTTCTTTTTAGCAAAAAGACGCCTGCCACTAAATATCGACAGTGGGATAGGTCGTAGGGCGTGAGGTGCTTATAGCTTTTGACGCGTTCGACCCGAGTTCGAATCCGCCATTTGCCGAACTCGCTTTTCTCCCTTTTCCCAACACATATGAGATGTAAAATTTATAGCCTAACATAAAGGTCTCTAGCGTTATATTTTGCCAACGAACTAAAATCGAAACCGTGATATGTCTTTGTGCCTTTATAAAACAGCACAAGACTTCAATAGCCTATACAGGCAGTCTGTTTGTGCTGCATGCGTGATTTAAAGAAAAGTGCACCCTTTGCTCACGCGATCAGCATGATCTGTTTTCTCCTAAATAAAAGCTAAAGGGTTTATTTCTTGCAAGTGAAGAAATTAGGACAAGAGTATCGTAATTTTCCTATACTATAGTGTAATTTAAAATATACTTTTGAAATTTTCATTTTCATTTATACAGTACATTTATAGGCTATATGGATTTTACGTCATAGGAATAATTATATAAATCATCATTATATTATTATAATAATTGTTTGGCATCCAAAAACACCAGTGATAATGTAATGTAGACTGAGACTCTATATCATAACTTAAAAGATGTTTGAGCCCTCTTTAATGTCCAGGTACAAGTCAATGCTTTTTCTTTGTTCAATGTGCAGTTCATGGGTTGAAGCCGGTTGAAGCTCTTAATTTTGAGCTCTCAAAGTGCACCAGATTGATGCATTTAACCTTATAATGTACAAAATTTTCTTGCGGGGCAGCATGCCACAAAAGTTGTCGATCCCCATCTTGAATGTTACGCTTATTAATGGGCTGTGTCACGTACTGCCTCCATCCAGCTCGTGTCGCTGCAGCGCTCGCCCTCCGCCCAGTGACGTCACGGTGATGTAGAGCGCAGTGCGGGCGGAAGCGGGTGGGATGATGGCGGCGGTGCAGCGGGGCTCCAGCAAATGGCTCTTTACCCGAGAACAGTTCGAAAACACGCCGTCCCGCCGCTGCGGAGTCGAGCCCGACCGCGAGCTCTCATACCGACAGCAAGCCGCCAACCTGATTCAGGATATGGGACAGCGGTTAAACGTGTATCCTTCACTAAAACAGCAGCGCTGTGATAGAGTTAGCCGTTAGCATATTAGCACGCTGCCGCTTTTGATCAAGTGAAAAATGTGCCGGCTAAAATACGATGTTTAAGGCGTTAAAATCCACACAAAACACCTTATTTTTTACAGTTCGCCATTTAAATGCATAATAAAGTGTATTTTGGGGTATAACATGAGTTAGTGTGTGAATGACAGGAAGGTGATTCAGTGTCTTTATGCTTGATCTAAACCGTATTTCTGGATTAATATTATTTTTACCTGATTTAATCTGTTTTTTATTCTTATAATGAGGTTGTTTGGTGTATTTTATGGGTTTAAGAGGGATTGAGACGTAACTATGTTAAGGCTAAACAAGGTGTGTTTTAATTGCGTGTTGTCTTATGTAAATATGCTATTTAATGTATTTTCCCTTTTAATATAGTTTATTATTCAGTTTTTTTTTCAAATGTATTAATGCAAATTTATTTTAGTTTGGTTTTGAGTGGTCGTTATGAAAGTTGCTATTTATTATTAGTAAAAAAAAATTCTATATTATATTGCATAGAGTAGGTTATTTTGTAGTGTTTTTCTTCCTTGATGAAACTGTGCAGATCCCAGCTTACAATCAACACATCAATCGTCTATATGCACCGATTTTACATGCTTAATTCCTTTACGAAATTCCATAGAAATGTGAGTATGCTTTTCTTTTTTTATTGATTATGATTTGATCACTCTAAATTTTCATATTTATTTCTGTGTGTTTGTTGACTTGCGCATCCACAATATTTTGAGGATTTCACAGGGTTTTAATTGGCAGCACTGGTGCTATACGTAACCTGATTGTTTATTGATTTTTTGTCATATTTTGAAAGGTGCATTAATTCTTTGCTCTCTTCAATCAGATCATCTCTCCCACCGCTCTGTTTCTGGCTGCTAAAGTGGAGGAGCAACCCAGGAAACTTGAACATGTTATTAAAGTAGCACATGCTTGCCTGAACCCTCAAGACCCTCCGCTGGACACCAAGAGCAATGTGAGTGTGAGGCTTGTGGGTATATGGGCCAAAAAATTATTGTGATCATTTTTTCATTACAGTCGATATAGATATTGTCACAATAAATGTCAAATATTTTTCTTTCAATTTGTAGAAACCAGACAGTTAATTGTGGTTTTAATCTACTTTTTATTGTCAGAACATGACAAACACTTGCCAAACAGGTGAACATTTCACAAATCTGAGGTAGAATATTTACAACTTTTCATTATTTTTTCCATAACAAAAGAAATTTGTTGCGCCTGACTTTGATGCGTATCTTCGGCACAGTTTGCAGCACAGGCCGTAATATTAATATTTTGTTTTGTCTCTTAGAAATTCACATTTGACAGTAGCTTGAGTTAGGATGCAGATGTAAATTTGTTCATTAACAAAAATGGTAACATCTGTAAAAATGTAACCAACCTCATAGGGTAAAGTTATATATATTTTGTTTGTTAGGACTTTTGTTAAAATTAACCATTGGTCAGCCATAGTATCATACATTTAGATCATGATTATCATAGGTAAAACCACGCATACATAACACCTCACTACCATGGTAAAATGTAACTATATAGTTTCTATTGTATTTGTTATGAAGACCAGTAGCCTTTATAAATTATTTACTATAAATAGATATGTACCAGAGTTTCCGCTAGAAAGAAATGGTGCCGGTCAAAATGACCGGCAGAGTTTTCGTTTTACGGACATTTTGATGATATGCCGGTCAAATATCGCCCCTTAATTAGTCAAGTTGAGGAAAACTGGAGGCAGGCTATGTAACCTAAAAAATAACTTCACATATCCTCCTGAGACCCAGAAAAAAAGTTTTTTTTTTTTTTTTTTTTCCATGTCATCACACTGTTTAGAGCACAATAAACAAATGGTAAAAAAACATATATATAAAATAATATTTTATTCATACGTTATGCTATGTCCTCTGTAGTGGACGCCAGGACTAAGTTGTTTAAAAAATAAAATGACATGAAATTATATGTATAGGCAAAAACAATGGGATTTTTTTTTTCAATCACCAATACATTTTGGGGTTTCAGGATTTTTTCAACCAAAATTTGTATAAAGATTATTCTCAACTATGTTATGAAAGAAATAATGGAATGAATTGATACACCATTTTACTTTTTGCAATATGTGGGTAAAATGGCCATAAGTTAATATTCCCATTCAATGCAATGTATCTATGCACTGTATCTAAGTTCTGGGAGCAACATTTAATGAAAGAATAAAGGGTAATAATTGGAGTAATAATTGGCAACATTTTAATAATAATATCTAACATTTCATAGGAATATTGATGTATAATTTATTTCCATATTCACTTGTTGTGTCTCCCAGAATGCCTGATAAACATGGTTTTAGTTTACAGTGGACACGTTTGAAATCAATGCCCTGTTCTGTAACAGAAAGTTTTTTTTTTTAAACCCCTTAACATTTTCCTGAGATGTTGTTTTATGAAATACAATTTGAAAAGTAGTCCAATTTATATTATAATTACACTATATTATCATATTTCCATAAGAATGCTACATTTGATCACTAAATTAATGTCAGACATTTTTAAAGACCAAGGAGAAGTTGTTTTCATGGTGAAACCTCCAAACATTTGGTATCTCTGAAAAGTCCTGAATGTGCTCTTTACAGGACACCCAGGTTGTGTCATGTGACATGTATGATGTCAGAGAAATTCACTAAAATATAATGTCCACTACAGTGGACAAAAGTCTATTCTTGGGTCCCAGGAGGATATCGCGTCTTTTGCGCGCTCAAGTTCGTTATTTCAAATGTAGGCGCGCTCATAATGGAAGTGCGACGCGCTCGTTTTTTCCAAGCGCGTCTGCGCCGCATCGAGATAAAAACATCTCGGTGTGGACTGAGGTAGGGCTGCTATTTTTATTTAACGAAAAATCTTAGTCTAACGGGAAAAATAATATATTTAGTGTTGGCCAATTTTGTGTTTTTTATTTTTACTATTTTATCCTGTTTTTCTCCGTTGTCACTGTTAGAAATGCTGCAGGTGCGTGAAAATTTGATCTGAATCCAGGTTCTGTTTTTGATCTGTTCTGTATGCTGCTGTTTGCACTTTGCACGTTAAAATAAACCCTTTGATAAATAAATAAAAATGTTTGTAGTTTTAACGGGTCACAGATAGGCAATTTATTCTTATTTAATGCCAATTCAATATTATAATCTTATCAGTTAACGGTTAATAATCGATTAACGAGCGGCGGTTGTCGGTCGGGAAAATTAACCGAAATGAGCATCCGAACTGGATACATTTCGTTGGAATCACTAGGGCTGGGCAAAAAAATAGATTTTTCGATTAATCGTTTTTTAAAATGTGGTCGATTCAAAATCGATTCTCAACGGTCACGAATCGATTTTTCCCATATTCAGGGCTCGCGGTGCTGCGTCTTCTCACTCTGCACAAGGCAAGCGTCAAGCACTGCAGGCGTCGATACACACCAGAGACTATTTATATACACACTCGTGTTTAGGAGTCGGGACATGATTCACTTGCACAATCGGGCCAGCATTGCATCGTAACTAACGTTTATCATTTTCACGTCTTTAAGTTTTACCAGTTTAAACATTCAAGCAATTTTAAACTATCATGTGCTTGCGCACTCGCGCATGTTTTTCATTGCGTGCACATCCAGTAAAGCCTAAATCCGCCTCACAAACAGCTCGCCAGTAACAAAAGTTCTTTTTCGTGGATTATATCGCTTTAACAGTTAAAAACACGCAAAATGATGTCAAAACTCTGGTCTTGGTGAGTAACCTCGTAAAGACAGTCGGTTATGTCTTAAATAAGCATAAAACGCGTGTGGCAGACAGTATAATGAAACGGTAATGGATCCGTGCACTAGTTCTAGTAATATAGCATTAATTGTAAGGAATCAGAATTAATAGCCTATGTATTTAATTCAGTCAGGACTAAAAGACTATCCAGTGTTATTTTACATTGGATTACTTTATTCAGTTTCTGTAGTATTTCTGACCTACCTAAAAACTTTTCTTTTTATGTCTCTTTATTTGTTTCTTTAGGCCTATTCTATTGTATTTATTTGTGCTACTTTTTTTAATTTAATTCAAAGATTGAAATCAAGCTTCCATGTGTTGCATAAACTCTTAACAAAAAAATTACCCCATTGTAAAAACAAACATTTAGGTGAGATCAATGTAATAGAAAATTGTCTAAAAAATGATAACTGATATTTAGACTGAGATTTGTATTACATCTATATTCATTATAGTCGAATCGAGAATCGAAATCGAATCGAGAATCGAAATCGAATCGAATTTGAACATCTGAATCGATACCCAGCCCTAGAAATCACATATGAGGACCTCCCTTCGCTGGCTGTGGAGAAATGCAATCCTCCATAGCCACGGAGCGCTGTCATGATAGCGAGCGCATCACGTCGCAGGCTTACGGCATTGATAAGAGGAGCGGTGTCTGCAGACTCAATGCTTGTAAAATGGCAAATAATCCTTCTGATCGGTCTGTGTATTTTTGATTTATACATTTTAGGCTTATTCTCAAATTCCGATTGTGTTAAGGGGGTGGGATTATTAGGCCATTTTAATCTGACAATTTGACCGGAGAGATTTAATTTTGTCGGACATTTCATTTTTTTCCCCGGCCAATGTCCGGTAAGTACCGGACAACGGAAACCCTGATATGTACAATGTAGGCCAGCCAGTTAGTGTTACTTCAGTAAATCCATGGTAAATGATGGTGATTTGTCGATTGAAAAGCCTTCTATCTGGATTGGTCATGGCACAATGTTTCTCACGTTTGTCAGCACGGTTTTATCTAGCTTTCAAAGTAGTCTAAATCTCTGAGACATTAGTGTTCTTCGCTGAATTCAAGCACTTCTCACTGGATTTCACAGCGCTGTTTAGTGGTCGCTTGACAGTAAACGTATCTGCTATATTTAACTCGCGCTGCCATTTAAACTTTGAGCCGAACGGATAAATGGTCTGTGTAGTGCTGTTTTGTTCGCTTTTGCTGCATAAACAGTGTTGTCACATTGGAATTTCCAACTTCTATGTGATATCTTGAAAAATATTGACATTTAATACCACTTTTGAGACCACGAGGAAAACTGCCATATTAAGCCACATACAGATAATTGATCTCATAATTTTGTTGTAATAGTTTACACAGCACAGGCAGGCTTTATTTGAATAGTTGAACTACGTTTACATTAAGAACAAATAAACAAATAGAATAAAAAGACAAATGAAATAAACATGGCTTTAAGTTTTTCAGGTGGGTCTAACAGTAGTATTCAGGTATGAAATAAAACAGAAATTAAAGTAATCAAATGTAAAATAACACTGGATAGTCTTCATTGTTGAAATTAAATACAGATTAATGCTTACATTAAAGTTACAAAAGTTATTCAGTCAAGAGCAGCGAGGGATTTTCTCTTTGTCTTGTTCTTTGATTAACATGACAGACGTCAGCAGGTTTATTAGGCTGCCGTCATTTTAAGAGCTTAAGCACAGATCCAATATACTGTTACACAAATGCGTTTTCTATTTACGTTCCATAACTGTCTGTATTTACCTAAATCCTGGCCAAGACGGGCATATTCACACAATTTTGTATGTATTTGACCGTTTAAGCGCAATAAGCCACGAAAAGTAGTCAATTTGGTACTCGTGAGCTGTTTGACAGGCAGCTTAATGAGAGATCAGTGGTGCATTCGCTTTTGGTGTGGTACTGTGGGAATGAGTAAAATTATGCGCAGTACAAGCACTATTTAACAGGAGCAAGTGAGTGAGAGGAGGCGGGTGTGTTTCAAACTGTAAATTCACCATTGGAGAGAAGAGAGTGAGAATGCTCAGCTGGTTTGGGTGTATCAATACTGCAGAAAGGAGTATTGGAACTGTTTCAGATATTTCAGTATTGATGCATATTGAAAGATCGATATTTACTGTAACACAAACATTATTTAGAACATTTATCGAGCTTGTTATATTTTGATAAATTATTTCGCAATAATTATCATTCGCATTTTTATCACCCAGCCCTATAATACATTATACAAAATGATGTAAATTGCAGGTAAATGGTATGAGTGTTAAATGATTATGATTATTTGGTCAGTTTTTGATGTTTTGCCATCATCATAAACATTGAGCTGGTGTGATTGTGTGAACTGCAGATGTACCTCCAGCAGGCCCAAGAGCTGGTGCTGTTGGAAACCATAGTGCTGCAGACACTCGGTAAGTGGGGATCTGTTAATGAAAGTGTCTTTGTTCCTGATGGTGAACACATGAGTCCTGTCTAACCGGTGGTTTTGTTTCAGGGTTTGAGATAACTATAGAGCATCCACACACAGATGTGGTGAGATGTTCCCAGCTAGTGCGAGGTAGATGCTTCCAGTCTTTCTTCATCTCTTTCTCTCTTTTCTTTTTACTGGCTCACTTATTGAAACTCAAAACTTCGTTCTGCCTTTTTGGCTTTGCATTGTAGATGTACGATGATGCTGTTAGCTGGGCTTCCATTCATGTATTTTTTTCAGACTTTTATTCATTATTATTATGCTTTATGGGAACCCTAAAATGTGGATTAAGTTTTTATTTTAGTTCATTGAATTTAAATGTTTTTTTTTATTCTGTAAGATAATGCATAAACTACAGTGGAAGCATATTTACTCAAAATATTCCTAAAAAAAGTAATTTGACTTCACCTTTAGACTAAGTAATTTTACATTTAAACTACAAATTGCCGTTTTATTTTGTGTAAATTTGTCTGTAAGTGACAATTTTGCATAAATTATACTTAAATATAAAATGAGTAATACAATAAAAATGTAATAATAGTTCTGCAAGGATGCATTATTGTTTAAAAGTGACAGTAAAGACATTAATAAATGTTACAAAAGATTTCTCTTTCAAATAAATGCTGTTCTTTTGAACATTGTTCATCAAATAATTATGAAATATATCAGTTTCTACAAAAATATGAAGCAGCAAAACTGTTGTCAACATTAATAATAAGAACTGTTACCTGAGCATCAAATCCTCATATTAGAATGATTTTTGAAGGATCATGTGACACTGAAGACTGGAGTAATGATGCTGAAAATTCAGCTTTGCATCACAGGAATAAATTACATTTAAAAAAACATTAAAAACAAAACAGGCATTTAAAATGTTTTACTGTATTTTTGATCAAATAAATGCAGGATTGAGCAGAAGAGACTTCTTAACAACCAAAAAACTTTTGAATGGTAGTTTATATTATAATATAAATATTTTTTATGCTATACACTGCAAATACATTTTTATTGGACTAAACTGAATTAAATTGAATGGTGCATGCTGTAGTTCTGAGTTTAGAAAGGCAAAACATGGTTGAAGAGTCACAGTGTACATTTGACTGGATTGTGTCTGACGGGACGTCTTTTCTGTCTTTCTCCTCAGCGAGCAAGGACTTGGCCCAGACCTCCTATTTCATGGCTACCAACAGGTTGTTACCCTGACCCCTATTTGTTGCACTGCCATGGCACCCTATGACTTCCTATTAGGCAGGGTTCTCCTTCATGTGTCCAACGCTCTCTCGCGCCTGGGCGAAGCGCTTGTCTGCCCAGCCCGGCGCAGTGCGGTGTAATGTACGGAGGGCTTGCTGTTGGCACAGAAGGTTGAATACACAGCCTGGAGTGTAGAGGTGCTAATAGAGATATCTTGATTGAGTGCATAGGTCAATAACTCAATTGGTAGCCTGAATATCAGCTCAGAGTTCAAAGGTGTAAACTTAGAGATTGTCACGGTAAGTACTAATGACCGCATTTCTTTTTCATGTTTATTTTTTGCTCGAAGCTGTATTATTATTATTTTAAAAATAATTGTATATATCTTCAATATATTAAAAAGCATAGATATTCTATTTTTATTCAGGATGATACATCACAATACCAACTTTTTTAATGCAAATTTCGACACATTGATGAATTTATAGAATAATTCTGCTTAAAAGGAATTTAGAATTGATCTACAAATACATATTTATTTATTTATTTAATTTATTCATGGGTTTGTGAACTATTTCGTTACAGTATGTCTTGTTGGTTTTAAGCACCGTTAATGAATTCACCTTAAACTTAATTTCTCCTGTATTGTAATTACTTCCAATGCTTTTTGTCCTTATAGCAATTTAATTTAGGGAAGATCCCTATTCCACTCTAGCTACATCCGGCACACTATTATTTTAATTTCACATTTTTCAAAAGCAAAGTTTTCGTTGGACAAAGACGCCTTCTCACTGTGTCGGAAGGCCAAAGCGTAGAGAAAAAGATGCGTTATTAAATGTATCAGAATTAGTGTAGCCTCGGCTCCCTTTTTGAGATCCAACGTTTTTTGTGGTCTAAACAATTTATTCTCAAGCAATGTTCTGTCAGCATTTACATACTTAAATCTGCATATTCTTTATATTCACCTCAGGGTGTTTACCTTTATTAAGGCCTTTTTTAGTCTTATTAAAGGTCATGTTTCATGCCATTTGATCAATAAATTCAATTATAGTAAGATACTGTAGGGCTGTTACCAATCAAATTAAATAAATTTACACTGCAAAATTACAACTGCAATAAATATTGTTATGAGATTAACTGTCACCCCCCTTTTTGAGAATAGACCTGAAAATGCACTATCCAGACTTAAATGGTTGAAATTCAAGATTGCTTTGGAATATACACTGATGTTTGGTCTTGTTTTAAAGAAGGCACTCGGCAGATTATTGCTGAAGTGAAATGGAAGTATGAAAAAGCTATGGCAGTATACATTTACTGTAAATCAAATGTACTGTACTTAATGCTTTTTATTTGATATAAAATCTATATTTTAATTTTTTTTTACTATAAAATCAAAGCCATTTATCTAACCAAGTTGTCTTCCAAATTTGACCCACTTTCCATTGATTTTTTTATGCATTCCCCTGTAAAAAATTAAAACATTTGTCAAAATCACTTCTATCACAAAATAGGGACCTTGAGACTCAGACCTTTTCCCGACAATGTGTTTTATCAAGATCAGAAAAGGTTTTGATTATAAGGTAGTTAAAATAAATGTTGTAATATAAAACCTGACACCTTCCATTAGGGGAGGAGCCCGTTAAAATAATTAAAAGTACTGTTTCCATGGTAACACAACATCCAAATTTAAAATGATTTTCACAGGAGGAATTTTGACTTCGTAAGCTTTCGAATGATACATCATTTATGATGATTACTAAAATATGTGATACACAAAAAAGGCAATAAAAAGAGCGAGCAAATAAGAAATGTTGAGAATTTTTATTTATTTTAAACTAAACCACCAGTAGGTGGCGGCAAGTCACTTAATGAGTGTTCAACCGATTCATTCAAAACGCTGAATCATTCAGCAAAAAAAAAAACAGCTGAGTGTTGCTTTGAGATTCGCAATAGTTCTGCTTTGATCTTTGTTTAGAACAAACACTGTGAATATTGTGTCTAAAATGCAAGTAACTTAATATGAGCTACTTGTTTATTGAACTATAAAATCATTCTAACATTTGCAATCGTGATAATATATCCGGCAAAACGGCCCTCTTGGTCATGTAATGTTACTTAACTATATGATATATGTTATTAATAATAAAAAAAATCAACATTTAGAATTTTTACCTCAGTATGTTACTTCTATGAGTTTCTTTGTGTGCTGTTACTCATTTGTTTCGATTACTCCATGAAAGTCTCTCAAAGTCTCAGCAGCGCGACTTTGTTACCAGAAATACTCTATTATCAATTCGGGGATAATTGCATTTCGATGCCTCCCTAGTTGTTTTTTGTCAGGCTATTTGTCCGGTCGGGCAAGTAAAATTTTCTTTCACTTGCCCCTTCAAAAAATCCACTTGTCCCGGACAAGCGTTAATGTTGAGCCCTGCGAGTCTTTAGCCATTTTTAAGAAACAGTTAAAGACGCCTCTTTTCCGCCAACACGTGACCCATTAATACTAACAAATACTATTCTATTATATATAAAACATTTTTTTACTTGCTTTGTGCACTGTGCTAGTCTATCTGGGACTACTCACACCTCTGGTATATTGTTGGTTTAACTGCGTCTATTTTTCTCATTTGTAAGTCGCTTTGGATAAAAGCGTCTGCTAAATGATTAAATGTAAATGTGACTAAAAGATCATTTCAGGCCAGTCAGGTGACTGTGAGCCGATTTGGTCATTACAGCAAGAAGTTGAGTTGCTTTGGCGTTGCTGGCATCATGCTCTTCCAGTTGAGTGTTGTGCATTTGATGCCACACTAAGATAATTAAGTAATATTTTTTGTTGACTGAATCTGTTTCATGCATTACATACATTTTGTTTTACAGCCGACCAGACAAACAGCATTCTAGCAAACATGCATCCGACTGGACTATGATCAGCTTTGACATGAAATAATCCCGATTATTATGATGAACTAAGAAGAATGGAAATGAACCGAAGGAGTTTATTGAATTAGGTTCCTAGGGAAGCATTTCTCATGTGCTCTGTTTGTAATGGAGTGTTTTCTGTCTCTTCTCTTTTCTTCTCTCTCTTGCAGTCTGCACCTGACCACCTTCTGCCTGCAGCATAAACCCACAGTGGTGGCATGTGTCTGTATTCACCTGGCCTGCAAGTGGTCCAACTGGGAGATTCCCGTTTCTTCAGATGGGAAACACTGGTGGGAATATGTGGACCGGGCCGTGACTCTGCAGTTGCTTGACGGTCAGTCAAACACAACTTGGCTTAGTAGATGCTTATATATATATATATATATATATATATATATACATATATGAATACAAAAATGTATATATTTAAAAATAATTGCTGTGTTTAGCATAGGGTTTTATATAGTAAGTTTGTCTCTTGATTTTGTAGACCTGACTCACGAGTTTCTACAGATCCTGGAAAAAACACCAAGCAGATTAAAAAGAATCCGAAACTGGCGGGTATGTACAAATACTTACCCAAGCCAGAAACCTACAGCTACAAACCAAAAATATAACACAACAGTATAGATTTTTTTGAAAAACTTTTGATTGCAAACTGTAAAGTATTGGACAGATTAAGCTTTATCTATTTTTGTTCTTGTTTTAGGCCACGCAAGCTGCCAAGAAACCAAAACTCGACAACCAATCAATAGACAGTTCCTTCCTGAGCCAGGAAACCTCATTGATGGGAAGCATGTGTGACATCAGAGTGGGGATGTATTCAGAACCATCCACCTCTTTCCCACTGGATGGGGCATCAATGTCCCTCAACGGCCTGTCAGACTTGCAGAGTTCCGCTTTCAGCTTTCCTGCACCGATTTCCCAGAGCGCCGATGCTTTTCTTGCGCTCCAGGGGGCGCCGACAAGCAAACACGGACATGGCTCGGGAACTCTCGCCCCTCAGAAACTCACTCTAGAGAAATACCGTGAAAAACATGCAGCCGAATTAGAGCATCGACGCAGACACGAAGAGGAGGAAAGCGACCAGCATCGAAAGCACGGACATTTGTCGTCCGAACCGTCTACGTCAATCAGGGTGAAGTATTCGCAACAGCAGGTACAAGAGCGAGCGCCGAAGAGCGGGTCGCTCAAACGACGCCACCCTTCCTCGTCGGAGAACGGCTCCTCTAGTCAAGAAGAGCTGAAAATGAAGATCAAGGTTTCGTCAGAAAGTAGCGGCAGTGGTAAGAGCCGTCACAGTCCGCGCTCCAGCCGCGAGAAACATCGCGAACATTCGTCGCACAAAGCACCGAGACACGACTCCTCACACTCACACGGTAGCCACCACCACCATCACCACCACTCATCCAAATCTCACCGATCTTCCAAGAGCCACTCCTCCTCTGCCTCTGTCTCTGCCAATCAACCGATAGGCCACGCCCATTTGGCGAAGATTGACAGGAGGCTGGGGGAGGGGCAGAGTTCTGAGCCTAATGCTGCTTTAATAAATAACGGTCCACACATGGATTATGAAGACACTTTTAATATGCTTGATTCCCTATTAAATGCGCACAACTTCTAAACTAGCGGAAAAAATCTAACATTTTACATAAAACCTCAAAAAAACGTGCGATTTTCATTCTTGAGCTAATTTTATGCAAGAATCACTCGTCCGTTACATGTCATAGTCTCTCTTTGATTAAATCATGTTTTATCACTGAATTTAAAGGAAAAAAACTACAAGTGAAGGTTGTAATGGCGTTTTAGTGTAAACGTGTAAACAACAATTGTGAATTTACGATTTTAAAACTTTCTTAGAGTCGTAGAGCTTGCTAAAGAGAGATTGCAAAATGCCGCTGGCAATTTTAAGTTGTTTTAGTTGGAGAAACGCGATGTGATGTGAAAATGTACATGTTCTTACTTCATGCTTGATTCACGATGGTCGTTTTGTTTTTCGTTAATCAAAGGGATGAAAATAGAAATGTGTGGCTGTTTACAAAAGGAAGGTGCAGATATCTGTTCACTGTTATTTGTATCGCTATATCCATGTATATATATTTCACGAATGCTCAGGTTTGGAGGTTATTAAAGGTGAAAAACGTCAGTCGAAACATAACTTTGAAAATTATAGCTGAAATTTCACAAAAATGCCTGTACACAGATTCCATTATAATGCTTTCCATATATTGTAAATTTAATGTACTGTAAAGTTATCTATTTTATGTTATTCTCTGTTAGAAAGCTGAACAGATGACATCATCGTGGCCAGGGCTGTTGTCTAATAATTTTGAAGACGTTTTGCTTGAAATTCCTTTTATTAGTTTTTACCCTTTACAGTAGTGGAAAGCAAAATGCCTTTTTCGGCAAGAAGAAAGTGGATGTTTTTTTTGTTTTTTTTTTGTGTGCCAGATTTGAACTGTCAAGATCGCATCCCAGAATTCTCAGCTGATCGGTTCATTGCGGTGTACGTCGAGCCTTAAACCTGTACGATAGAGATTTTAGCTGCCTGTGTGTATCGGTCCCATTTTCTATGATCTCAGTATTTAAGATTTGATTTCTGTTCCCGTCTTCTCCCCTCATTGGCTGCTGCTTCTGATTGGTTAACAAGTGGGCTGCCATTGAAATCAACCAACTGTCAACTTCACGTTCTCTGTCCGATGCCCTTAAAACAGCTTTGGGAACGTTTTGAAGGAGTTTGATGAGGATAAAGACACTTTTGCTCTAGATGTGGCCTAGACTCCTGTTGTGCTGTTATAACCTCCTTTCACCAGATACCAAAGGTTTGTGCCTCAGTGTTTGCCCACCGTTGGAACTGTATGAAACTTTTAGGTTTCCATCTTTTTATTAGATTTTTTTTGGAATGCCACAGTTCTTATTATAGTATTAGATATGAGTCTGTATGGATGATGTTTTGGATCGTCTAATAAACATCCAAGAAAATTGCATATCAAAATGTGTTGTCTTTTTTTAAATTGAATGGGTATTTAAAGGTGCTCTATGTAACTTTTCTACTAAAATGAATCCTTTTTTTATTGCCTGTGTGTGTGTAGGGGTTGTAATCACACATCAAAATGATCCACTTGTCGGGTTTTGCTATTACCTCTGAAGGCCAGTATTCCTATTTCTATGTGAAGTCTCCGGGTCGGATTTACCGCGAAATCCAACGGATGTGACCAGGGATGGAAATTAACTTTTTTGTCCACCGGCCACTGTGGCTGGTGGATTTCAAAATCTACCAGCCACTCAATGTTTTTACCAGCCACTTTCTTGTTTTTAACCGACAATGTGTAACTGCATGTGAAAATTAATACTACAAGAATACTTAAGCAGTTTATTTAATCTCAAGTCTCAATGAAATACTGACATTTTCTCTTTCTCTCACCCTCGGCCTCATCCACCTAATCTGTCATTTATTTTTGTTTTGATGATAAATTGAGCCAGCCTCCAAAAGTAATTAACCTGTCCTGTGATTTTTTCTTCTCTCACACAACACTCTCCAGACACGGATTTATGAGCTATAGTATGTTGGTTGCCTTTACATTAGAATAATATTTAATATAATCTAGATATCAAATGGAATAAATAGCATTCAATACAAAATGAATATGTCTCATATATTGAAATCAAGTTTTATGTGATAAAATATTTGCTTTGTTGTGCATTAGAACCACATCAGGCATTTAGTACAAAATAATTTATTGAAGCATCCAGATACTTCTCCACGTGACAGCAGCTAGGCTCCTGATTGGTTAACGCGGCGCGAATTGACGCTAAAGTTCAGATTTTTCAACTCGGGCGGCAGACGCGAATTCGCGTCAAACGCGTGAATGCACAAAAGCACTCAATAAAATCATGCGCGCGGAACGCGTCAGACGCTCGAACTTGCCGCGCGAATGAGGCGTATTCGCATCTACCACGGCGCGCTCTACACCTCATTTGCGCCGCAGGAATTTTTTACGCGCGTAACGCGTCTTTGCATTGACTTAACAATGAAATCACTCGCGCCAGACGCTCTATTCTCGTCTGGTGTGAACGCACCATGATGTTTTCTCTGCAGACCTCTACGCCTGCGATGTAACGCCACATTTTGTTTGAAGGTGTGCCTCCTCTAAAAGTGTCCGCCGTCCGGGTGAAACAGTATGCTATTTTTATTTACCCGCCACGGTGGCCGGTAGGTGAAGCGAGTTTACCTGCCACAACACAAAATCACCCGCATTTGGCTGGTGGCGGGTGCTAATTTCCATCCCTGGATGTGACGTGCATGCGCGCTCCCGAGCCTCTCTCCTTATATACAGTCTATTGTAGACGGTCAGGGAGTTACGTCCGGTTAAAGGCGCACGTTTTTCGGCTTATATCTCAGTCAATCTTTGATCAATATTCCCAAGACTCTAATCGTTCGTAGTGCTGGACGGGGCCTTTCGAACGAGCCCACCCCCGAGTTATAGCCGTTCGAAAACGGGGGTCCCAGCGAACGGCGATCCGGTAGGGGGCATCCCCGAGGCCCGCCACTCTAGCGTTCGGGCAAGGGTTCCCCTGGGACCTCCTCCCCCGAATTTGAGCTCTCTGGGTCTTTGCGTTCCAGAGATACGAGCGATTTTCTTCTGAGATCGTGACGTCACCGGCGCCCGCAATTTTGCAGCGCGCCCGATGGTTTTCTGCTAATATCTCCGCGAAAACACCACCAAAAACTATGGAACTTATATGGTTCTTTTCAGCTCGACTAGATGGTCCCAACGAGCTTGGTGCTCGCCGAATCCGTCTAGTATTCGCTGAGATATTTGCGTAATAGACGATATTGTCTATGAGTTCGAGCACGAGCGCTCTTGTAAAATTTGGTTGCAATCTGAAACATCACCACTAGAGGCCGCTAAAAGTTACATAGAGCACCTTTAAAACAAAAATATTTTTTTTAATTGGTATTTGAGTAGGTCAGTATTGTAGACAATAGGCAAGGCAGGTTTATTTATATAGCACATTTCATACACTATGGCAATTCAAAGTGCTTTACAGAAAGGAATTAAAATAATCACAAAATTAAAGCAAGGAAAATTAAAACGTTATAAAAGTTATTAAAAGCGATACATGATAGTTATAAAATGAATTAGGAGTAAGAAGATGCATAGATAAACTCATCTGGCAAAACATATTTATAGAGGATATTTTAAACTTGGTTAACTAAAGACAGTAAACTTGTTAATTTTGTATTTAAGTTTTCCATCTTTGTGATGCACATTAAATATTGTGATGCCTGATTTTACTTGAGCATGCAAAAATATTGTGATAATATTATTATTATTAAATATATACTTATGACACAATGTTGTCATATTGGCTATACTTAATTTTATTATTGGTTAATGCTTGACCAAAGCTTATGTTGATCACTTTTATAACCACTATTATTATTTTGTATGAAACTGCAGTGTGATTACATTATTGAAAAAAAAAAAAAAATCTAGAAAAATGTAAATAACCTGTCCATTAAAAAAAAAAAAAAAAAAAACTGCAGGTTTTTGTTGGTGCACGAACATATGCCTACACAGCTCGCTTCGAACAACGTTTTGAAGATCAGCATATCTGCTGTAAGATTGCAGTCCCAGTAAAACAGCTCTGTTAAATCATGATGTCATATCCTGCCAGCTTTCCTTGTCCCAAAGCACAGAGGCGGCTCAAAACTGACATGTTCAAACTGCAGTACAAGCATACAGGCTTTTGCTGATATTTGCTGACAAGTGATCAGTAGGTCAATTGCTTTTTATTTTGCGCACTGCACATTTTGGCAAATGTAGTAGCTCTGTTTTTTTGGAAGAGAAATGGAGAAAACATGCATACTACACAAATAGTGATTTGAAATATCCAATGTGTTGAATTCAGCCTCAGCTGCCAGTAGAACCAGTGCAGTTCCTCTCCTGATCACCAGATGGAGATCTTGAGTCACGTGTCTCCAGCATCCAGTGGTTCAGATATATGTTGTTCCGCAGGTACGCTGATCTAACTACCACAGACATCAAAAACGACCTGGTTCCCCATGAGACGCAGACTGGTTTATGAAGAATGTCACTTTTTTTTAATGTTGAGTCCTTTGAATGTGGCAAGCAGATATTTTGTAATAAACCAGGTGTTTTGATGCACACTATCTCCTGTTAGCATGCACCCTATCATCCTCTAACCTCAAAATGCAATTTCATCATCTTACACACTTATAACTCACTCCTGTAGGGCAAGCGTTGACTGCTTATAAGCTAACAGTTTAGCATATTTGGGGTTTTAAAGAGGTCAGTTATAATTGGAGAATGCTGACCACTAGATACTAGAATTTTAGCTTCTATAAATTAATTGGATTATAAAACGTTAGCATAACATATTATCTAATTTAATCTGCCCCACTAACACAGCCTTGATTAGTAGAAAAGTAGTTTCAGAGGCAGTTTAAGTTTTGTTACGAAAACATTCAGACTCTTTAGTTTTCCTGACGCTAACATTGATTGGATTGTGAAAAGTTAGCATAAAATATTATTAGCTAATATGATCTGACCCACCAACACAGCCTTGATTTTATTTAAAGAAAACTTGTTTCAGAGGCGGTGAACTTTGTTAGGCAAACATTTTGACTTAGTTTTCCTTAGTATAACTAAAAACTTGTCTGCAACTCTAAAAGGTCGAGCTCTTTAAAGTCGGTGGATTCTGATTGGCTCTCATGTTCTGATCGTTCGTCAGCTGGAAAAAATATTGCTCTGAAAGTGATTCCATCAATATCGTTTCTCCCTGTCGTTAATGTTATAGTTGTGGTATTCCATATTCTCGTAGAAGTAGAACGATTTTAAAAGTGTTTAGTTATCGCCCTTGGTGTGAGCAGCCCTTGATGCGAGGCTAATGCTAATGTACTTCTACATGTTGACAGAATTAACTTATTTTCCATAAAAACTGACCGAAATGATCAACGAATCGTCTTGCGTTAAATAAAAATGTGTCCAATCAAATTCTCTCTAGTCTAGAACGACCGTCCCTCATACCGATTAGCAAGTAACGTTAGTAAAGCCAGAGAATGTCTAATAGGAGAGAACCATAGACAGTATAAGAAATGGACAGAGCCATCTCATTGGAACTCAGTTGAGACAGTTGAAGCCCATTTTTAGCGATTTCTGAGCACTTCCGTTCCTGACGCGCAGACTCAAACCGTCTCAAACTAAGCTTGATGACGTGAGCAACCTGTCTGACAGACGTTAATCTTCTAGTAGCTGTGCGTGAAAATTGCCAACGTTAATCTTGCAGAGACGGGGAACTTGAGCAAAGAGTTCTTTGGCGTGAGTGAGCAGGAGTAAGTATTCCGTTGCTTTTATGGACTCATTATCTATGGGCTTCTCCCTTGACGGGACGTCCCCCCGATTGCCTGCGAGCTTCTCCTCCTGTCTGTACGGTAATTTCTGTACAGCGCGACAGAGAGTCGAGTGGTTATGACGCAATCGTTAGCCTATTTTTACTAAAACTGTTTCTACGGGGCCATAATGTAACATAGAAGGTAATGGAGCCCTTTATACATTGTCGTGTTTCTTTAGAAATAAATAATGGGCAAATGGAGTCTTTAAACGCCTCAGATGTAAAGTTATTCGCTGTCAAAGTGACGCCAAAATGAATGGGAGTCAATGGAAATGCTAACGCAAGTGAAGTTCTGCTACAAGATGGCGGCACCCGGCCGGCTTCAACTTCCGGTCGATGGATTACCCCCTTGGTTTCACCCCCAGAAATCCACTTTTCTCAGGATGTAATTTTTTGTCAAGTAATCTGAAAGTTGCATTCAAAAGGTAGGGACTAAGATAATACACTCAGCTGAAAACTGCATTTTTAAGATCACTTATCTGTTCTAAAAATCCGTTCAAAAATGTGATGACGTCACATAATAGCAGAATGCTAGCGTGTTCCGGCCAACAACGGCCTAACCTGTAAG